ATTATGTCTCACAGCTTAGACCTGCAGAGTATTTACTTACCAAAGTAGGTAGTATTTAATTAAAAAACAATTTTGCTTTTATTTCTCCTTAAACTCATAGTTAAGGCATTCTTTTGATTTTATTTGAAATTAGATGTGAACATAGGCTATACTTTTTTATGAACTAAATTTCAGGAAGAGTAAAGGGGCACTGTTAATATCTGCTATTCCAAGGGGATGCTAGGAGAACCACGCAGAGAACCCCAGTGACAGCACAACACTACAACACCCCATAAAGCAGGAAGAAGGACTGGGAATCTCCTCCTGAATCCTCAGATACATGCATCTGACCTGCCTGTATGTGTCTGTGCCTCTTTACATTTTTCATACCAATGAGATATTACTTAACACATTATTGTATAAGTTGTTTATTAAAAATATATCTTGGGTGTTTATTCATATTAACAGATAGTTCTACTTAATTCTTTTGAGTGGTTGCATAGGATTTTGTGGTGTGAAGGAGCCATAATTTGTTTAACCAGCTCCTGTTGATATTCACTACATTGTTTCCATTTATTTGCCATTATACAAACTCCTGTAACTATTATACAAATATAAGAATCAGTGTGCATCTGTGCAAATATGTCTGTGAGATGAAGTCCTAAACATGAATATAAAGGTTCTGGGTTAGAGGGTAGGAATATGCATTTAAAATATTGAGTATCTACCAAATTTCTCTCCAAGAAAGGTTTTATACTGATTTATACACCAGTGACAGTGTATGAAAATATGTTTCTCCTATCTCTCCAGTACCAGACCTCAAGAAACATTTCAGTCTTTGAGAAACTGATGTTTTTTTTAAGTGCCTCATGATTGTTTTAATTTGCAGTATTAAAATTATAAGTCAGGTGAAAATCTTCATATGCTATTGGACATCTGCAATTTTTCCCATGAATTACCTATACATATCCTTTACCTGTTTTTTTCTACCTTTTTCTTATTTATTTCTAGAAGCTCTTTATATATTAAGGAAATAAGTTTTTTGTCATCTGTGTTCCACTTTCTTTTTTTTCGATTTTATTCTTTGTCTTTTGGATGTTCTAACATACATTTGAAAGATTTACATTGTTACAGTCACTTACATTATTTTTATTTGTCTTTGTATTTGGGACAGATTTTAAAAGGCTTTTCCCACTCTAACATTATAAAAAATGTCCCACATTTTTTTTCTAGTTTCATTTTATGGTTTATTTCATATCATGGTTTCATTTTTTGCATTTAAGGTTTAAATCAACCTGAAATTTATTTTGATATAAAAATTGAGGTATGGCTCCTAGGTGTTCCAACACCACTAACTGAATTATTTATCTTTTCCTGATTTTAAATGCTGCATTTATAAATATTCATTTATGTTTGGATCTATTTCTGGACTCTATGCTGTGCCATTTGCTCTCTTCAGTTTCAATAACAGTTTTAATTGATAAAACTTTATCATAAAGTTTCTAAATATGCGAAGACTTTTGCTCTTTTTCCTATTTCAGAATTTGCCCAACTATCCTTCAGTGTTTATTTTTCCAGTATTTAGTATCATTTTGACAAGTTCCAAAAAAATTAATTCTGTTGGTATTTTGATTGAGATTTCTTTGGATTAATAGTTTACTTAGGGGGGACTGACATCCTTATGATATTGAATCTTTCTATCCCAGAACAAGCTATATCTCTCCATTTATCCTTTTATGTCCCTTAGTGGAGTCTTAAAGTTTATTCCTCAGCATTCTATCTTTTTGTCCTTTTCTTGGTGCTATTGCTAATGGACTCCTCTCTTCTATTATGTTTTCTAGCTAGCCAGGGTTTATGCACAAGAAAACTAATGATTATATTTATAATTAGAAAACTTCTAATATTTTTAAAGCAAAATCAAGAAGTAGATGAATTGTGGTTTCTTTAGTTTAAATAAACTGAATAAAGATTTTTTAATAAAATAGCTCAGAATTATATGTGATCATGAAGTGGTCTTAGATTGACAAGAGCTCCTCCTTTAATGCAACACTGATTTTCCCAACAGCTTTTCCTCTGCTACCTCTTATTTTTCTTTCATAACCCTATGTGGTCCTCCATAGAAATATCCTACAGCAACAAACACCCAGGAACACATACCCCTGTAGCGAGGCACACACAACAGGCCAGTATCTTTACTTTTTGCAGAATGAGGCAGAAAATATTTCCCTCAGGCAGAAAATATAGCCATCCAATACCCTGAGTCATTTTGCTACTCTACAGCAGGTAATTTAATTTGTTTTTAGGAAGAATGAAAGTTGAAGCAACACAAAGTGTCAGAGGCTAGAATTATCTCAAAAACATTTAAAAAAAAAAGAGCATAATTTTGACTTTAGTCTGGCATCCGAACAAGAACTTTGTCAGGAGTTTACCTGAAAACCCAGCCCACACCTAGACTTGCAGATATGGAAACCAAGTCTCAGGATGGGCAATAACTTGCCAATATAAGGAGCAAGGGGAAGAGTTGGAGCTGGACTTCAGTCTCCTTCTGGCCCACTGAAGCCTTCTGCAGACCCTCAGACAGCTAAATCACCCAAGAGAGGGTCGGCTCTCAGCACCGACCTTCTAAATCAGGGGTGTTCAACTCTGATCCCTTTCCAGACTGGGGGTGTGAGATAAATGAACAGTTTGGGGTGGGGTGCTGTCTTGAGGGGTAGCTGCCACTGAGCCCCCACTTACCACAACCATGTGCAACACATGGCCCGGTGTGGACAGATCTTTTCATTTCTCAAGGGAAGCCAGAGATTCAGATTTTTATTTATTAAATGTTGGCTCAAATTTTTTTAAAGTCCTATGTGGGCCAAACTAACTACATCCGTGAGCAGGATTAGCCTTTTGGCTGGCCACCAGTTCACCCCTTCAGTAGAACACTTACTGGGTGACTTTTCACCCAAATTCGCTTGTACACAAAAGGTAGAATACACTGCCCAACCCACGCCTTCCAATCCCATAACAGACCTTTTTGTAGAGCAGTCCCCTCCAGGATCTCATCTGATCCTCCCAAGGGCCCTGAGAGACCAGGACCATTTTGTCGAGGGAGAAACTGAGTCTCAAAGATGTGCCCAAAGTCAGACAGCAAGGAAGTACCAGCACCAGGATCAGCCCCTGGATTATCTGTGTGACCAAGTGGCCAACTGTCCAAGCCCTGGTGTTCAAGTCTAACTCCACCACTCACTAGCTATGACCTTAGGCAAGGTACTTAATTGCCCCAAAACTCAGTCTTTTTATTTGTGAACTGGACATGATAATGACAGTACTCACCTCCCAGAGTTCCTTCCTAGCAGAGCACCCGGTACACAGTAAATACTCAATAAAATGACAGTTATTATTATTGTTATTATTAACTAGTCCAGGCTTCTTCCCACTCTACTACCCTCACCTCCCCAGTTATTTGTAGGTTTTTAAAAAGAATAAGGACCCAGGGTCTAGGAGATTGAAGGTCAGTTCCAACTCTTCCCCTTACCCCTTATACTGGGCAAGTTATTGCCCATCCTGAGACTTGGTTTCTGTATCTGTAAAATGGGGGTGTCATCAGAGGTCTTGCCATGGATTCTCATGCACCAGGGGAGAGGACGTCATGGAACATCTATGATACTAGCAAAGGCTCACTGACTGGAGCTCCCCACCCCCTTCCCTGAACCAGTGTTGCATCCTCCCTACCTGTAAGCTCAGCTGCCCTCCAGGCTCTTGCTCCGTCTCAGGTGGACAGGGAACTGCCACCCTTGCCACTTGAATGAGCCCAGATCTTCACACAGGGTCCCTGCTGCTTCTATCTGAGCCCCATGAACCCCAGTGCCAGCCTGTCAGCCCAGGTCTGAGCAGGACACGCTCTGCCTTGGGGTTTATGGGACCCTATGTCATCTAGCCCCTTTCCCTAAAGTTCTGATCCAAGTCCAGCCCACAGCTTCCCTGGCACAACCTTAGCCATCCCTGCATTTCCAGGAACCCCTTGTCTCAGTCACTACATACTGTGTTCTGTCCACCAGCTTACAGGGACATCTGCCCCCTCAGGCTGCACCCTAGGTTCTGGCCCAAGTGCACCCCCCAGCCTCCCACCCTCTGGTCTATACAGTATCTGACACTGCTGCCTGCCTGCTAGCTTGCACACCCTCCCAGAGCCTGTCGCTCTGCACTATCCCAGTGCTGCTGGAGCAGGAAGGGCTGTCTGCCTGTCCAGCTCTCCAGCCCAGCCCCTTCAGCAGCAGCAGACCCAGTGGTGGCCGGCCACCAGAAGAAGGCTTGGACAAGAATAATAATAGACACATATACTGGGTGTTTGCTGTGTGTTATATGTATTAACACATTAATCTTCACAACAACACTATGGGTTAGGCGCCATCACATTCCCATTTTAGAAATTTAAAAAACCACAGCCCCAATTCTTACATAATTTACCCAAGATAACAGAGCTAGTGAATGGCATTGTGTTCAAACCCAGCAGTGTGCCTGCAGGGCCCAAACTCTTAATCTTCACATTGACAGCTACACGCTGGCCTTGGGCCTTCCATAAAGGCAGCTGCTTTGCATACCCCAAGCACCTTCCAGCCTAAACCTCCTGCCCTCGTGAATTTAGCCTTTGTCTGGAAATCTGAAATACCAGTGACAATCTGCCAGGAGTTCTGCTTGTCCTCCAGGCCCACCAGCCAGGGCTGCCCTTCTCATGAGAGGGATAAATCCCAGACCTTACAGGGGATCCTGAAATCACTGGGGTTCCTCGGACATAAAGCTTCCCTGCCATCCCTCCCAGCCCACAGCCCATTTGGACAGGCAGTTTTATCGCAGCTGCAGCTGCAGGCCACGGCGGTCTCCTGCCTGATCTGTTCTCAGACTCTCATAACCACATTAAAACAAAAATGGCCAGTCAAGTCCAAAAGCACCAAGAAGCCATTCTTCCCACCATGCAGGCATTCTTTCTCTTCCTCCCTCCCGCTGCCGGCCATCCCGCACACTTCAGGCGCCCTCACCTGTCACAATGGGATAGGACTGTGGCCCCGGCACGCTGCCCCCGATGTCGGCAGGGGTGGGGCTGGTCAGGCTGGCCTTCATGTCGTCTAGCCCTCCAGCCAGCGAGGCCATAGCTGAGTAGTCAGTGGTCTGAAAGCAGAAACAAAACAAGGACATCTCAGCATCAAGACTCCAGCGCACCCCCGTCAAATGTTACCACCACATTCTGGGCTGAGCCACCGTGCTGGATTAGCACCTGCCAGCACAGAGGCCCACAGGAGGCTCACAGACCCCTGGCATTGAGAGGGCAGATTTGGCTCAACGGAACAAGACAGGTGCCCAAAATCAACAATTCTCCCTTGCTGAAGAGGTGGACAGGATTCAGAATAGCTTCACAAGAATTCAAGCTTAGCATCCTGTGGCCTGTAGGTTCCCTTCGCCCAGCCCCAGTGGCCAGAGACTACCATCCTCCTGCATGTGGGGAGGGAGACATCAGGAACCAAAAGCAAGGCTTGATGAATAAGAATCTTGTTGCCAAGAGGAAAGACAGGCTTTTGATTTCAGTGCCCTTAAACCACAGATGTAGAATCACAGAAACAAGGTGAAGAGGCATCTGGGATATCAGCCAGCCCAAGCCTTCATTTCACACATAAGTAAGCTGAGGCTCAAGGTAAAGAGGGCTTTGCCCATGGCTGACATGGCAGAATCCCAGTCCAGAGGATGATTCACCATAAATGCTCACCCAAACCCAATACGTCAAACCAAATGAGCCACTCTGGCAAGTGCTTTTGAATTCTACAAGTGTACGAACACCTGTATGCTGAAAACTTTGGGGTGCATACACCTAACATAACAAGTCCACACCAACCATGTGCATTTAGCCCATGAGTCATGCTCCTTTCATAAGTCATGCTCCATTTCATAAAATCAGCACTTGCAATGAGTAATTTCCTTGGCATCCGACCTACTGTCAGAATGGTCTCCAGAGAAGGCTATGGAGATGCCAACCTGGGTCTTCCCATTCAAGGACAGACTAAATTACAAGCATGCGTGACAGATCTCCTCCTCACTCAATCCCCAGGCCTGTTTTCAGGTAAAGAAAACATTTACAAACACCTAAGCCAAAGTATTTGGTTTTGCATGCCAAGCTCTAATGTGATGAGTTCCCTCCAGGACCCTGGCATTCGCAATAAAGGACAAGTCCCTGTCTGTCTAGAGCTATGTCCTTGGTCCTCGGCAGATGGGCACAGGGAAGCAAGCAGTCTTCTGAAAGGAGTTGCAGCGACCCTGGGTAGGATGATGAGGACTGAGCTACAGGGCAGGAAGCCAGAGGAGCCACTGGGCAAGTGTCGGGCAGAGGGGACTCAGACTTAGGCACATAACTGGTGCTTTTTTCTGCAAATGAATTAGAAAATATTTCTTTGGCATCTCAAATGCTAACTGGGGTGGAAGGTAGCAGTGAGTCTAAGAGGGGAATACTGCAGGCCCAGGCACCTTGAGATGGTGTCTCTCTGAGGACAGCTTGTCCAGAGCTCCGAGGGTTCTTAAAGCATCTCCAGCAGGGGCTGACTGAAACATGCAGAGAAGGGCACAGGCCCTGATGTCAGCTGAGGTGCTTCTTAGAGGAGAAGGACAAGATAGGGACATGCCTCCCCAAATCAGGAATCACTATAAAGTTGTAATAATTAAGATAGGGTAGGATTGGCACAAGGACAGATAAATAGATCAATGAAACAGAATCAAGTCCAGAAACTGATCTGGGCATATATGGAATCTTGATATATGAGAGAGGTGATGTACAAATCAGCAGGGGAGGATGGATTCTAATAAACAGTGCAGGGGTAACCAGTTATCCATTCAGAAACATGTGGAAAAAAGAAATTGGATCTTTACTTTACACCAGACACAAAAATCAATTCCAAGTGGATTAGAGACCTAAATGTGAAAGGCAAAGGCATCTCATGTGGTCGGCTCTAGGTCCAGCCAAAAATGCTTGTGAACAGGTCTGTCCTTGCGGAAAAGGACATAAGTGTCTCTGGCATGCTCACACAGGGTTCTTGGTCACTGGGAGGACAGTAGTGGATCTCAGTCATCCTGCTGCACTACTCCAATGCCTCCTCCTCCAGGAAGTCCTTCCTGATTACCATTCCCCAGCAGGCAGGAGTCCTGCCTTTGCTCTGCTGGCCCCACCAAGTGGTGCTGATAAGAACCATAATCTTCACGACCGTGTCTAAAGTTCACATTTATAGATCACTTACTCTGTGTCAGGAGCTTCATCTGTATTATCCCATTTAATCCTCACAATAACTCCATGAAGTAGGTTCTATGTTATCTCCATTTTACAGATGAAGAAACTGAGACTTACACTATTATAAAGGGAAATGACTTCCTAAGGTCACACAGATTCTAGGTGCCAGAGCTAGGATTCAAACCTGGGTCCTTCTGACTCCACAGTCTTAACAAGTATCCTAATGATTTTCATACTGTGGGTTCCTGACCCGTTAACAGGTATGAAATCAATTTGCTAGTACCAACACTTTAAAGGATGAAATTAGAAAGGAAACTATCCAAGGATCTCACAAACAGAAAGAGTACGTCCTGTTTTGTAAATGTTTTACATATAAGTAGATATATGTGTACTAGTCAGAGACGAACATATATTTCTTGCTATAGGTCACTACCAGCAAAGTCTTCCTTCCATGTACCAAGGAGCTGTTTGGAAATAGTCACAGTCTAGACTTCATCCCCTGTAGAACAGGGCTTGGTCATGGCAAAGCCTACTGATTTGCTGAGAAGGAACTTGGAAGTAAAACTCATGGAAACAACTCCTTTGGTGCAGTGCAGTGTACAAAGAGAGAAGGCCCAAAATGCCTCTGTACGGATTTCTTCTGAGATGGCATCTTCTGGAGTTTCTGGGACCCCTGGGGGGTGTGGATAGCCAGTCTCCATCCTCTCTGTGTTCCCAAGTACCCTAGTGGAGGCCAGGGCATAGTGGATGTTCAGCGTTTATTGAGCTTGTGTTGTGTGCAAGATGGCATGCAAAGACAAGATATGTTCTTTGACCTTCATCTACAAACCCCAAGGGAAAAGACACATGGCCCCAGAAGCTCCATCCAAGAGTAACAAGAGCACAGATCCATTAATGGACATGGGGAAGGAAGTGGTTGGGAAATATTTCTTGGGGCAGGCTGTATTTAACCTGTGTCTGAGCAATCACTCATGCCCAAAGCTAAGAAGATCTGAAGGAAGGCTCAGAGATAGGAGGGCAGGAGTGATCTGTAACAGAGCACATGCCAATAGTGGGAGGAGGTAAAAGCAGAAGAGGTAAAGATGGAAATGTAGGCAAGCTGGGATTCACTGTGAAGGGTTTGCATGATGGACACATGAATGAACAAATGAATGAGTGACCCTTAGGAGGGCCAGGCAGCAAGCATCTTAACCAAGAGTCAGCATTCCTGTTCCCTCCCCACCCCACTGCCAGGCCTACCCACTTCCTAGACTCCAAGCTGGGCAGCTGGGTTTGCAAGGGAAAGCCTCTATTTCCCCTAAGGAAGTAGAGCCAACTCTAAGAAAATTGTAAAAGGGTGGCCAGTGGGGATATACTGCCACTTAATTTCTTTAATGTCTATATGGAAGAGTCTTTGCTTTTTTATTTTGTTTTAGTCAATAAATTCAGTATCAAAGTTTGTCCAGTCACTTCAACAGTTGTGTTTGGATCATCTTTCAAAGCCACAAAATCTTTAATTGCCCAACTACCACTGACTGCCAGAAGGTAAAGTGAAGTTCCCTAAAGAGTTCAGGCTCAGGGGACAGTGGGACTCAAGAACCAGCCCTTGGCTGCACTTTTCCAGTTGTGCCTCCCACCATCACCAGCTTGCAGGGCTCTCCCTGAGTCTTGTTTCTTTTCTTTGGTGGAATCCATAGCTCTTGCTCTGTTCCTGTATGAGCCAGAAGGTGCTGTCATTCAGTTTTAATGTGTAACTATTCCCTAAGTCCTCATCACTGTCTGTCCTTTTGAGCTGCCTATGATTTTTAAAGGAAGCTGCACTCTGAGATGGTGTCTTCTGGAGTTTCTGGGACCCCTGGGGGGTATGGATCTCCTGGGCTCCCTGGAACCTTGGTGCACCAGCTGCTGCTCAGCCACTCCAGGAAGTCCTCCCTCTGCTTGAAGGGCCCATCTCACTCAGCCACTTAGAGAACTCCTACATTGCCCACAAGACCCAGCTCAAATGTCACCTCCTCAGTGAAACCATTCCTGGGCCCCACACTCTTACAAAGAAATCATGATCCCCTTATCTAAGCTCCCATACTTGGTGGCATTTTGCGCAACCTCCACTATCACACTTTCCACAATATACAATGGCTGCTTACCTATTTCCCTCTAGGCTGCCTTGATAAGATGGAACATCCCTAGAGCTCCCTAAGTGCTTTTTGAATGAATGAATAAATACATAATACATAGTCCAGTAGCATGACATTAGCCATAACACTCAAAAATTAACTGAAAAGTATTTGAACAAGAGCTCCAAGGGATATTCTAACTTCCCCTGGGTCCCCTCCCAACTCAAGTCAGATGACCAGAAAACAGTGTCCTTTCTACCATTAATTAAAGTCCTTAGGTATGTGCCTTCACTGATCTGTGATGGAATATCAGGCATTCATCACTTGTTAAAGGCAATAAAAGAAAACAGTCATAAAAAGAACTTTTTTTTTTTAACCTCTGAAGACACTGCCCATTAGAATATTCAAATTCCTTGTCAATCCCTCCTACACTTCAAGTACCAGGAAACAAATTTTTTTCTTCTGATGAATGGTTAATCTGCCTCTGATTGGATATAAAATGTTGGAAACCACTGCATATCCCTTTTGCCTTGACTGCCAGGAAGCTCAATCATTCAGTGCCCAATCACCACAACCACATCATTGTTGGCACCTGTTGTAATGATCTTCTCTTTTTCTCTACATAATCTCTGAATTTTTTTCAGAATACATGTAATTGGTTATTTTGTTTATTGTTTAATTGTTTATTTTGAAAGACATCTCAATTCCTTTCTAAAAGGGGAGGCTGGGACAGGTAGGAAGAATGACAGAAAAAGGAACATGGGAAGAAAAATCAGGAGAGAGAAAGAGAAGAGGGAAGGCATTATTGGTGCCTATTTTCCTGGTAACAGTGACAATCTACTTCTATTTCTCATAGTTACTTAGGAAGCCAAGGGCTAAACAGTATCCTAGATATGCACATGGCCACACATATGTAAGTGTGTTGGTGCACCTGTGCACTTAGGAACATAAATCTCCCCTAACCCCAGCCACTGACAGTCACAGTCAATAGCTCTGTTCCACATTCTTACTTCTCTGAGCTCTTGGGGCTCTTTCTTAGGATATTATTTTGGGCTTCTGCTCCCTTCCAGTCAGAGCCCCCTTGCTGTCCTTAACTATGACCCAAGAGGAGAAAGGAACAGAGGTCAGCAATTCATAGGCTGTCCACTCCAAGGCAACCAACTAGGATAAAACTTCTCTGCCTACTGCCACAGACTCCTGTAAGGCTTCAAGGTCAAAATCACTAGGTCTGCACACCCTCCTCACAGACACCATGCTCCAGATGATGGGAAGTCTTGCACTCTCAAATGTCTCAGTGTAGTCAGGGTCATTTTTCCCAACCTGGGAAAACTGAGGTACAGGGAGGGGAATGGACTTCCTTATTGATTTTTATCTGCAGAATTTACAGCCTTTGACCCCGTGGAGAAAGGACATGTGACTCAGGGGCAAGAACCCCATGTCCTGCCTCTTTCTCACCTGTGACCTCAGGTAAGCCAGGCCAGCTCTCTGAGCCTCAGTTTCCTCATTAATAAAATGAGATCTGAGTCTAACCCTTTGCTACCTGCCTGCCAGGGTGATTATGAGGATCTGAAAGATTAGGAGAGAGGGAGCACTTCAGAAACTATGAACAGGAAAGGTTAGGGGACCCTAAAGGGACTCAAGAAGGCACATGCCCCAGGAAAGTGTATGCTGGGTGTTATTTGGGTCCCTAGGAAATTACCTGGAAAAGGACTGCCTGGGGCTGCACCAAGTATTGTCTCATCAGCACGGGGCACCACTGCCATAGCATGGAGGAGAAAAGAAACACAGACACGTGAGAAGGAGGGCAGCACAGAGGAGGGCAGGGCACAGGGATGAGGCTCCAGGGCTGGCGACCTCAGAGGGCCACCTGGGGCCAAGAGGCTTCCCCATCACCTGGTGAGTTCCTCCAGTTCCTCCAGGCCCACCGCCAAGCCTCAGGCGGCCCTCAGAGCTGGGCCAAGCCAGGCCAACCACTCCCATCCTGAGGCACAAGACACTTGCCCATCAACACACCTAGAGGAGGATGCAAGCTGGAGTAGGGGAGGTGTGTCCCCAGGGCCTGGCCTGAGGACCTGAGATTGAGGAGGCAGAGGGCTCTGAATGCCTGAGGCAGCCAGGGTGGGACAGGGGCTGAGCGCAGATCCCTCCCTTCGCTAGCTGCTGTTTCCCCATCTGTCTGATCAACTTGCACTTGATCTCTAAGTCCCCTACTACCACTGATCACTCTGCCTCTGTAACTGGCCACAAAGTATGAATTTCCTCTTCAACAGGTGAATTCCAAGGCAAGAAAAGAGAGATAGAGGGGGATCCTATAGATCAGAGGAGACTTAGAGACACAAGAATCAATTGCAATGTGAACCCTGATTACAACAAACTGTAAAAAGTGCAACTGTGAAAAAGATTTTAGGACCTGTAGTGAAACAATTGGAAATGCAAACACTGATTGGGTACATTATAGATTAGCTAACTTTCTAGGTGGGATAATGGTACCAAGGTTATGCTTGTTAGGTCTCACCTTCTAAAGAATCATTCTAAAATGTTTATAGATGAAGTGTTATGATGTCTGGAGTTCACTTCAAAGTAAAGTGTGGTTAACAAATCTGGTATATCTCTGCAATGGCATACCATTCAACCCTAGAGGAACTAGATACTGCTGTGTGTTACAGCATGGATGCAGCATGCTCTGCCAAAGATGCCAGACATAAAAGTGGACTGTCCAGAACTGGCAAATCTACAGACTCAGAGAGCAGAGCAGGCTGGAGATGGGTGGGAGCCAAGAATAAATATAAATCCACAGGAGAGGTCTTTCCAGAGTGACAGAACTGGGTCAGAACTGGATAGTGGGGTAGATGGCACAACTCTACAAATTGCTACAAATATCACTGACCCACATACTTCAAATGAGTGAATTTTATGGTATAAAAATTACATTTCAATAAAGACATTAAAAAATAAAGTGGAGTGTGGGGGAAGCAGGGCTACTAGAGAAACAGGACCAGCTGTGAGTAGTCACTGAATCAAGTTGAGGAGGGCTTAGTGGTTGATTAGACTATTGCATCTGCTTTTGAAATTCTCGATAATTAAAGTGAGACACCCAAATGACATATATTTGACTCATGGCACTACTTGCCCCCACTCGTCAGCTGCACAGCAGACACTTCAAGGTGAGAGGTGAGAGCACCCTCGAGGCTGAGGACAGCCAGGAGTTTGCTCCCTTGAAGGCTGTTATCCCCCCCATCCTCAGGGACTCCAGTTTCAAACACAGGAAGCGTAAGTCCTCTCATCTGCTTAGCATTTTCCAGTTTACAAAGTCCTTACAGGTCCATTATGTCCTTGGGAATCCTGGGGTATGGGCAGACGCAGAGAGGGGAGCCCAGGCTTGCTAAATCCAAGCTGGCCGTTATCCCAGAAGCACAGTTAGAATTTCCCTACCAGCCCGGAAGGTAAAGCGCAGACACATGGTGGAACATCCTCCTCCATGAAGCACCTTGGCCACAGACCCAACTTTACTCCAGCTAGCAGGCGAACTTGAGTCTATAAGCAAGGAGGAATATTCCACGGTTTTTAAACCTGGGTAGGGTACACAAAAACTGCACCTGCAGAGCATATGTTAAGGAATAGTTCTGCCTTCATTATAGTGGATTAAGCTGATTGGCTGGGAGCCTGAAGACCTGGCTTGGCCTTGGACTCCCATGTGACCTGGCGCAGACCCCACCCCTCCCTGGGCCTGGTGACTCCACCTGTCAAATGAGGAACAGAACAACCGGACCCTTCTGGCTCAGAGGCCTCACCACAGTTCGTGCCCCCCACGTGTGGTCCTCATCATGTGGAATGTGTTTCCCCTTGACGGGGCTGAGGCTGGGCTTAGCCTACACTCTGTGGGTGGTGAAGGTATTGCCCATTCTACCCATGGCTAAATCCAGAGGCCTGGCAGTCCTCAGAGGAGGAATCTGGCTGAGGAAGCCCACAGGTCTTGGGGCCAGGAGGACAGAGTTCAGGTCTGACATGGCTAAACTCATGAGGTGTGGAACTAGGCCAGGCACCTCACACTCTCAGCACCTTTTCTAATTTATAACATGGAGATCTATGACCTACCTCACAAGGTGGTTAGAAGGCACAAAAGGGAGTGATAAGAATGTCAAATCCTTGAGGGTAGGCTTTTTTATTCTCATTTTTTGAGTCCTCAGAGCCAGATATGTAAGTAACACTTAAAATACTGAGAAGGGAAATGCAAGGAGAGATCTTTGTAGCAATGGAAATTCTCGGTGTGTCAGGGCCAGTGCCCCACAGTGGTGCTATACTACAGTTTTGCAAGATGTTGTCAGTGGGAGAAACAAGGATATATAGGATTCCACTGTATGATTTCTTACAACCACATGTGAATCTACAATTATCTTGAAATAAAAAGTTTAATTAAAAAACAAAAACAAGGTTTTAGTATTTCATCTCCACTAAAACTAATAAAGATTAAACTTGAAAGAAAAAGTTTGCTGAATGGAAGAACTATGAATGATGCTTGCAAAAGTACATAATCTACAAAGTGCTACTGTCAGTATTAACTGGGGGAAAGAACTGCCAAGGATTCTGAATGGGCTTACTCTTCCAGGGAGCCTTCCTTGATTTCTCCTCCTCCGTGCTCCTAGAACATCTAAGTGTGCATATCTCTACCGCTGCATTCATCACTCTGCATTGTATAGTTAATTGTTTAGGGCTCTCATCTCCGAGCTAGAGTGTGAACTTCATGAGGATGGGGTTGTGTGTCTCTCTCATCTTTGTGACAGCAGCTCCTGGCTCAGAGCCCAACTCTGAACAGGTGTGACATTAATGCCCGTGGAAACAAATGGACTGGGACAGGTCCCATGGTCTGGCTCTGCCAACAACACCAGAGGTACTTCCCAGGATCACTGAGAGGATAAGTGATCTCAAGGTGTCATCATTCATCAGAAAGTTCCCTAGGCATGAATGGGACATGCTCTTGAGTCATTTGGCTCTCCAGAACTGTGTTCGTGCCTGGGTCAAAATGGTGTGCCATGGAGTCGAGGGACTTCCAAGAAGAGATCTGCCAAGTTTAACTGCCTCATCTCTCCCATTCTGTGTACAGCCTGCCAGGCATCCCTCCAGTACACCCGAGACATATCCCCAGGTGGTGTGGAATAGCAGGGGCAGCCCTGGGGTGGAAAGACTGAAATCAGATATTGTGGTTTCTATCTAGGAGAAACTTTTCCAGCAACAACTAATTGAGAGGCCCTTTCTCCTCCACTAGCCACTTAGAGAATCTTCATGAGCTCAAATCTCAGGACCCAAAGGAGCTCAAGGGCTGTGGAGGCTGGCTGATCTTTATGTGATGCTTCAAACCTACCAGTGATGGGGAACTCACTACTTCCTGAGGCAGCCACTCCATGGTCACAGAGCTCAGTTTGCCCCTGGAGGCCCCCGGACCTTGGTCTCAGCTGTGCTCTCTGAGCTTTAGTTCCAACCAATGTCCTCTCAGGCCACAGCCACCAGTGCCAACCCCAATGCAGGGCCCCAGGTCTCCCACTCCTCATTCTGGACATGTTCTCTGTGACTGAGGCATAGGAAGCTTTTCTGGTGACCTCATCGTCTGGCTGAATCATACTGTTCTCACAGTCAGCACTGAGCTCACTACAAGTTCATTTGAAATGGAAGGTGATTATGTATATGATTTTTTTTTTAAGTGTTCATTTTCTCCCACCCTTACGAGTGCACTATTTGCAAGCCAGATGCTTGTGCTTATGAACTCTCCCTGGCTCCACACTGCCTCCATGTAATGTCAAATCAAACCATACCGGCCCCAGTCCAAACCCCAATCTGATTTTTCAACTTCAATTCAAATCTATCCTACTTCCAAAACACCTCCCTCTACTCCAGCTACAGCACACACACACTCCCTGGAGAGCCCAGGTCTCTGCAGTCACTGCCTTGGCTCACACTGTTTCCCATCACACTCTAAATCCTTGTCCTCTAAGGCCCAGTTCAAATGTCATCTTCTGATGTTTAAAGTCTCTTGGGTTGAAATAAATCACCTCCTTCTCTGAATTTCCGTGGCATTTTCCCTGCACTTTGTTTAGGATATCTGTTCCAAGCCACTTAGCTCTAGTAACTTGGAACCGTGTCTATTGCCCCTTTAAGACACGGAGGCTCCTGCAGACGGCATCCCCACCTGCTGCGAAGCCAGGTCTCACCAGCAGGCCTGGGCAAGACCTATCCCGAGTGAAACTGAGCAAGGGAGGGAAAGGAGGAGGAATGGAATTGAGAGCTCACTCTGAACCCTGAGAAATCTGCAAGAGGCAGGGGTAAAGGAGGCCTGGGCTAACAGCATTCTGGCTCTTGTCTTCCCAAACACAAAATAAATGACAAGGCTTGGAGCACAGAGCTCCACTTGTGGAGGACAAGAGCCAGGAGCCAGCAGTCAAGGCCTCCTGAATGACAGGAAGGTGCAGTGGGGGGAGTCACAGGAGGAGAGGGAGGAGGACCCCCTGTCTGGGGAGCCCCAGGGCCTGCTCCATCTCTGCCTGCCTGAGTAATGAGCAGCTCCAGATCCTGGCATGAAGAAGAGGAGGGAGAGTCCCAGAAACAATGCTCCATCTCTGGGCAGCAAAATTCCACAGCTTGTTCTAGGCAGTCTACGCCTGGGCCTGGCTGTCCCATCCTATAGGACTAGGAAGGAAGAAAGGCAGGGAAGCTTATTACCCCCAGAAGAATGCAGACCTCTTGGTTACCAAGGGGCCTGAACAG